ATCAAGCAGCGATAGCAGACGACAGAGTCGAAACGGCCTCCTCTCTTGAACTTCTCGGCGTTGCCGCAACGTGGCGTCGATTTCGCTGGAGTCGCCAGTATTTCTTCTTCCTCCCCAGTCCAGTCTGTTTCAAGCAGTTGCGTTTTTTTTTTTACTTTATTAAAAATATACTAAAATATATGACACCATAAAAAATCGCCTGGCAAAGCAAAATTTTTTTTTTGGGGCGGTGACACCAGCGAGCGTTCGAAGAGCTGCTATCGGAGACCGCGATGCGTCTTGGGAAATCCGACGCTTCCAGCACGTTCATGACGTCACGTTTACCTTCACGGGCAAGCCTACAGGAAGGCTGCCGTGGTTGCGAGACTCGCCACTTGGTGGCGTCAACACGTTACAACCTGGCCGTTCGAGATGTCCGCTCGCCCGCGGAGTTGAATAGGCGCGGGAGAGAAGGGAGGGAAAAAGTTCGTTTCACACGCAATGGCACCGCTCGAGTTCTCTCCCAGAATGCATCGCACTCGCGGAGTGTCGCACCGAGAACGGGCCTCAAACGAACTTGCCAAATGCACCGAGTGCGGACTGAAGCTGTCATCTATGTTGTAGAAAGAGTACCGACCTCAAACCGAAACTAGCACCTTTCTCTTCGACCTGATGGGTGGAAGAGTGCAGTCGCTACCAACGTTTATCTATAAACGTAGGTTGTTGCAACCTGTAGTTTTTGTTTGCGACGACTTGAAGCAACTCGGCTGTCGTAGAGATATTTACAGAAGGCGTAAATTTCCGCAAGCAGCTGATTACAAAGCAGCTGGCTACGATCTTTCAATTCTTATAACCGTTTATACTGGAGAAAACTGATGATGCTGTCTGCGCAGAAGCTTCACTTGTTTGACATGATATTATGTGTGAACCACTGAAAGGGTACGGCTTAAAACTAGTCTGTTGGAATACCCAGCAAAACCTTTAGTGGGACATTCGATTTCGATCGTCGTTACAGGTCAATCAGATCTTAGCCTTGGTAAGGGCGTCAAGAACAAGAGCTTTCTCAAACAAATACGACGGGACAACATAGCTGACGTAGGTAAATGTTAAACATCATGATGTTGCCCAAGCCTCGGGTAAAGTCACTATGTTTAGCTTTCTCGAATGCTTTATGGCCCGTTCAAACTCTTGCGACCGAGACAGACCAGACCGGTTTTTAAGCCTCTTGCGACTTCTTAGGACCAGCTCCGCTGCAGCACATCCGGTCCTAAGACGTCGCAAGAGGCTTAAAAACCGATCTGGTCTCTCTTGGTCCACATATGTGATTGGCGCTTTACTGGGCAGTCCACAGTCCTTCGTCGACAAATGTTAAAATTTTCACCCGCACACGGATGGTGATAAAGATATCGGGGGCCACTGATGCGTTCGTTCTGAGCATTTCTTTGCACACCGGTATATTTCAGCGTCTGCACGGCAACATAGCGACTTAAAATTTGCAAATAAAGCACGGATTGTCAATTGCTTTCTTCACGAAATAGCAGACGCTCACAATTTAAGATAGCGTTTGATCCCGTTGCCCGCAGGACACAATTTATATCAGAAAATCTACTTTCTTTTATCAATTTCAATTCTGCTGTATGAACAACACGTCGTAGCCACTGATCAGTGAGTGTAGCAGCCAAAACCTCGTCGTCTGCTCCAACTCCTCGCCGGAGCGAGGCATGACGGGATTGCATTTTGACACGAGCTCCACTTTCTCGGTGAAGCGAGTGCATGCACACGTGGGGTGCCGCCGCTAAAACAAACTCTGAGAGTCCAACCACTCGTGGAGTGCCGGCCGAAACGAACCTGCTCCATGCTGCAAGTGGGCACGCATGGAAACGAGTGCCTTCAAACGAACTCGCTACTAGCCAAGTCAGGAAGGGATCGCGGATATGCAGCTTGCTGCCGTACTTCCTGCGGAGCGGCGTCGCTTTTAAGGGTAGTTTGACAAAACAACATTCGGTTTAAGTTCGTTTTAATGTTTTGGTGCCTTTTTGGAGCATGTCTCTGTGGTGTGGGGCCAGAACGGAGTTGACAGACAATAAAATAGGTAGGTGCTCCGAAGGGCACCAGCTGCACATGTGCCGATGTGTTATTGAAGGCACAAAGCTTGTGCTGGAGGCGGTATATACACATACGAGTCCACTGTGTGTGTGTGTGCGTGCATGCGTGTGTGTGTGTTTCAACTTGTCTTGTCTTTTGCAATGTTTTTTCACCCGAAAATTGCTAAACCAACAGCCCAACTCCACGCTTCATAGGCAGAGATAAACATTCTAGGGAACTGCTGGAAGAGTATGAAATAAAGAACGTCGACGATGGAATCCCATAGTCCTTCTCAATGCCCACTTGCCTTTGACCATTGTCCAGGCGTTGAAGGATTTTGAGCTTGTCTAATAGAGACAACTGCTTCCGTTTCGTCGTAGTCATTACGAAAGTGGGCGCACAAACTGCCGTCCTGCCGTTGTAACCCAAAACTAAGATAGCCAAACGGAACCGATGACAAAGAAAAAAATAGACACACCACGTGGTTTGTTTTCGTCTACCGCGCCGCCGCTTTGCCTCGGAGGTGCCACAAACTTTAGCAATGATACGCCGCGCTGCAGAGGTGGCGGCGGGCATCGGCTACGCCAGCACTGCACAGCACAAAACTTCGTTGAATTAATTGCAAAAATAATTGTTACACCACAACTTAGCAGCCAACGTTATCAGATCCAATACCGCCGTTGACACCGCGACTTCGCACGGCGATGCCGAGCAACCTGGTCTGTTGCAGCATGGCACTCGTGTGATCTCTACTCCTACAGTGACGTCTCGATATGGACACCTTCCTTCCCGCCAGAAATAGTCCAAAATGTAAGTCATCCATAACCATGAGACTAAAATGGATGCATTTACCAAGCATGTCCCTAAGAAGTATGTCTATGTAGCAGGGCATCCATATTGATGTGACTCATATTAACAGGACATGACTGTAGTCGTGTCCCACCAATTTAGGTGATGACGAGAAGTTACCGCTACGGCGATGCAACACAAATGCCAACTTCGCTTCTGTTGCTGAACAGGCCAGCAGCCCCAGCGGGGATGTTTCTAAACTACATGTTGATCAGTGCTGAGCTCGCTGAAGCCACAACGAAGAATACTTCTATGGTTCGACAAATGCCCAATGAACAATTTGGGGACAGGCTAAAGAACCGCTGAAAACCACTTCGGTCATCTCGGATTCACCCAGGTCCGGAGATTTCATTGAATGAGCAAACAGGCTTCGCACCTCTCTAGAGCGCAGCTCTTAGGCACCCGTTTCCGGCTTGGGTGCCGTCACCGTCGGCGTCAATGTAACCGCGCGCGTTGCATTATGGGACGTTTCCTCGCTAAAGTTAGCGGGTAAATTTTCTCACTAAAGTTAGTGGGGAAATTTTTCCGCTAAATTTAACAGAGAATATTTTCCGCTAAATTTAGCGGTAAAATATTACCGCTACATTTAGCGGAAAACGTTTTGCCAAATTTAATGAAAAAATTTTTCCGCTAAATTTAGCGGAAAAATTGCAGCCAAGCGTGTCGTTCGTGTAGGCAGCACGTGCAATTGCAAGCTTGTCAGGTGTATTCCCCCACACTGACACCAGTTGTGACGTCTCTTTCTGACCTCTTTGAAAATAGCAAGAATCCGTGTGCATAGCTTAAACAGGCGCTGAAGATTCCGGAAACTCCTCATATGACATCATGCCTCGGGAAGGAGGGGCTTCAGCGGTACTTTGAGAATTAATTTCTGCAGTCTCCGTGTGTTAAATTGAAAAATAATCTTGATATTAGTGATTCTGGAGGCCAAATGCAGACGATTTAGGTGTTTTTCCTCAAATACAAAACCGCTTCAGTTTCCCTTTAAAGAAACATTAACCCCCAAAAAAACAAAACCCCAGTTGTGACTAATATTATACCCTATCAATGTTGTTTTTTTTTCGATTTGCTTCGCTTATATATAGGACTCTGCATTCACAAAGTTTATTTCTCATGAAATTTGGAAGGTGCTTTCCGAGTATCATGTTCTGGCCAAACATTCGGGGTTTATTGGAGTATATTTTTTGTTTGATTCTCAATTTTTTAAAATCAGAATTTGTTTTACTGCCTTCCCAATTTCCAAACATTAAAAAACAAAATAAATAATGTTTGGGTACCATGACCGGTTGTCCCGAAGAAACCTTGACGAGCTAAAAGGCAAACCCCCTTTGCCAGTCGTTCAAAACTTCAAAACAAGCTTAAATGACATCTCAGGATTGCTGACACTGCACTCTTATGAAGTTAATTTGTAAAACGCCATCTTCTTTGCTTTTAATGCGATAGCATTATTAAGCGACTACTCAAGATTTTCAGTTATGTATACTCTGGCCTCAGCACAGTAGGTATGCTCAGCAGACCATTTCATCTAACAGTGCTTGCACCAGACTGTGCCGTGCGTACGCGGAGTGACAGTATGCTCTCTTTCACATCGGCATCCCCTTCGAAGGACCTGACGACCAGCATGGTCCAAGAAGTCGTCCTAGAGGTCGACCTCTAAGGACCTGAATTTCTTAAAAGACGTCGGGTCACATGCACATGACGTATGCACTTGACTGTACATGAGCACATAGCCGGTGTGCAATGTATGTCACATGGGCAATGATAAATGCTACTGCATTCCTAGATAATCACCCCTGTGGTTTCTACAACTTTGCCTCAACCATGATTTTGCTGACCTGTAATCTTTCTTCTGTCATTGTGACTTCGAAATCAAGAGTTCTAATCTAAAGAGAAGACAAATTCATCACCGAGCGTTTATTCAAATTTACCTATGAACATGGAAGCCTACTTATGTATTACCTTAAACGCTTTGTGAAGGTGTGTTCCACAGCATCTTGTCGCATAATGGAGGAACGACTCACCCCAAAGGTGTCGAACAATCCAGCCGCCGTCCATGTGGGTGAAACAAACGACAAACAAAAGGATACTCGACCATGGCCTGCACTCCGTTCTTCTTGAAGATCACTATTCGCATCACTTTGCCGCTCGGGGTGCTGATGGTGTGGATGACGTCCTGCAAGTGACAACGAAAAAGCAAAATCACCAAGGCCAACCAGCCGATCTTTACATTTTGTGACCCTCTGTTGGAATGTGGCGTCACAACTTGCCACAATTAACGAGAAAGGCTCAAATACGAGCCCATACATGAGAATTGAGTGGCCTTAAACGACGTTCCCACACCCCTGAGAGGGGCACGATGTAAAAGTTTGCACAGTTTTTGTTACTTTGTACATCCCATTAAACTGCCATCACTTGACAATTACTCTTGTTTTTTGTCTTTTTAAAAATTGTTTACTCAACTTCATTGTGAAGTCTAAGAGCACTCCAACCCACAAAAAACAAAGTAATTTTTTTTTTTCAAGGACATACTGACGCATATGAATTTCCCTAACACATACAGACTGATCAACAGGGTTTTGTTTAAGCCCCAGATGTAAAACAATATAAGGCAATTCTCAGAGCAAAATCACTCATAGCCAGCAAATAGAGCAACATTAGCAGCTACAATGCACACAGCAAGTGTTTACAAATCAACTGAGAACTGGTTATTTTTAGGTTCTAACTTTGCTTCAGCACAATCTTCAGAAGCTAGAAATGGACATAAACAAGAACAACCCACAACCCCAGCTATATCCCATTCACACCTAGTGAGTTGATAGTGCGGTGGAAACTACACGCTCGTTGGAGCAGTCGTCACTCTACCTATCACAATGTGCCAAGGGGAAAGACAAGCATGATGGGAAAGAAGGCAAGACTGCCTTGCTTTGGCAATCTCCAGCGGTGTTTTGGGTCTAAACCCCCCCTTCCCTATCTACAATATGCTGTTACATCAAACGTATCCACACGCACCTGTCAAAGGGCCTTCTGGCACAATATTGGACTCCCCAAAGGAATGCTTCAGTGCATGGGTTCCCAAGAACTCAATGAGTTCCCAGAGTACTGTTGGGGATTTCCCTAAGCCGCCAAAAAGTCCCTGAACATCCCTGCCAATAGGCAGTGCTCCTCCAGTATAAGCATGATTTTAGAAGATATGAGCCACCAACTCATTCCTAACTATGAGCTAAATGCTTCAAAGTATGTCAACTCCTCTTCACGAGGTCCGTAAGCTTTTGCACCCCTTTACTGCATCAATGCCCAGTTCGGGAGGCTTTCCTGCCTGCTGGACGAATGGATGGATGGATGGTAATGGCTGTACCCTTGATAATGGGCAGTAGCTCGCACCACCTAGCCTAGAGACCATTCAAGATGGACAGGGGTTGCCCGACAAAAGTTTTGAGAACCCCCGTCTTTAGTGCATGCAAAGTACATGGAACATAAACAGAGACCACTGGTATTTCAGACGAAAGTCCAAGTAAAACTTGTGTTCTAACCACACTGTAAGGGTGGAAGGATGCAAGGTAGCATTTTTTCTGCACTCGCATGGAACGAGTGGATGCACAAAAGAAAAGGTTGGTTGTTCCTCCCAAAACAACTCACCACTGTGATAGGGTAAGCAGGGTTGAGGATGGTCATCAGAAGGACATGGTTTGGCTTCTCCTCTTCTTGCCTGCAAGGAGAAAGCAGAAGTCCTTCCCCCTGTGAGACCCGTGCACCCGAGACATGTCCTCCAGCTTAGAACTGCACCAGACATCTCCTGAATGGTATCATCTAGGGCTCCCTTTGTCTTACTGCCAGCCATACAAATAAACCGAAGCCACTCGAATCTTTGATTTGAGGTGCTCTATAACGCTTTGAATCCCAAGAACAGCGATGGTCTGGCTAACTGCCGCAGTGACACTAACAGACAGTGACAAAACAAAATAAAGACAAGCAAGAGTTGCCTTGATGCCTATGCCCACATCCCACAAAAGGTGCCTTCTTTTCTCATCTATGACACACTGATACAACGAGTATTTTATGGCGGCGGGCCTTGCCAAAACGACACCAGGAAGTTGTGGAAGGAGGATAATCGAAATAACGGTATACCTTGTGGAGCACATCCTTTTACATGCAAAGAATAGGTCTCTCAGCCCCTTCTACATGTGCAGGGACTACATTAAGCTAATATTGAGCAGTGCTATTATTGAGGAAAGTGTCACTTCCCCAAAAACTTCCTACATTAGGACCCATGACCAGAAAATCTTTCCCCCTTTCAACAAAATGCTGCCCATCACATCTTTTCAAAAAAAAAAAAAAACAATGGACAAAAATATGGATATTTTTTGTAGGAAGGCAATTTGAGTACATGTAGCCATTTTCATTGTCCTCTAACCAACGAGTTTGTCAGTTCATGAAAGCAAAGCAATGACAGACATTGGTTTCCTCGGGGTTGCCGTGCCCCTCTGTTAGAAGAATGTAATTGCAAACCTAGCTGGAAGCCACCATCATATGCAGCATTGTTTCACAATTGTCCATACATTGTTATTCATTATGAACTGTATGTGTGCATGTAAAATAAACAAATGATCAGTTAGTTGACGGCTAAATCTCACTCACCCTCTTCCTCGTTGGTTGTTGTAGTAGTTGTAGCCTTGCTGTTGGTTGTTTCCATAACCACGATCCTGCACCAAAAGGAAAGCGTGGCCAATCAATGCATGGTTTCTCCTTAGTTGTCCACTGGTCAATAGGGAGTTTTAGAATAAGCATACACAAAAGCTCTGCGCTCATCAAGAATAGGGCCATGGCCACTGCACATGTGCCGAATGCTAACAGTGTTTTGTGGGTGCTATTTTCGCGTTTATGCAATGTTTTCAGAAATTGTGAGTGCACGCAGGGTCTTTGCATTCCTCCAACGAGGACTCGTGATGCGCGACAAGTTGGCTAAAGCCAGGACGACCACAATTAGAGATGGCGACTCCCAAGACCGCGTTTGCGACCATCGCGAGTTTAATGTCTACGGAATCTTTGTGTCTGCGATTTTCAATACAGGAGGATATTTCACTCCTTTGGGAGGAGCATGCCACAAACGGTTTGGAAGACCCAGCATGGTGGGCAACGATTGCCGGCAACTTTCCGGCAACTTTCCGCTTGTGGCAGAACGCTTCCCGTCGAAAGTCATCAGGACACGAGACCTCTTTTACCGAGGCAATGTAGGCGGAAATGACCATGTAATCGTTTGCGTCACATTCTCATATTCAAACAAATCTAAAATGTTATTTGGGACCCAAAAGACTTCTCTTCTCATGCTACAGCATTACATGTGAAATAAATCTTTTCACTTCTTGTAGCTTATCTTTTTGCCTGAAATTTCTTTCTCAAACACTTCCCTCTTCTTTCTGGTGCACACATTGTTTCATCCCGGAAATCCTAGAACCCCATTTTCTGCCAGGTGGTGTCAGGTGTTTCTAAAACAGCGGATTGAAAGGTGTGCAAACTATAAGGACACACAAATATGGCTGGCGTTCAAAGGCCCGCAAATATGTCCCTTCTGCCAAACTTGTGAAAAAAAAAAAAAAAAAAGGTTGACACTACCTTTTTTTTTTTCTTTGGATTTCCTTTGAAATCAAACATCTGTCAACTGGAATAGCCTTCCACCACATGTAGCTGGGCGGTTTCATTTGGATTCAGGCAATGAGGTGCAGTCATATTTTTTATTTTGCTTCAAAATTTTATTTCGTGACACAAGTTCCAAGAAGAACAATCCTTTTTGATTTTAATGTCCTGACATGTTTAGTTTCTGAGAAAAAGAATCTCAAAGAAGCGGAAAGAATGACGAGGTTTTGACAATTGTCGTGTGTGGCGTTTTTGAATCACTCTCAATCTCAAAGTATTCAAAAGAGAGTGTCTATATTTTTTTACTGTGATATATATGCAAGTAGGTAAAACAACGTTTAGCTACTATTTATTATTCGTCACACCATTCTTTTTAAAAATCCCCAAACATGCCTCCGCGAACAACTGTGACCTAAATTGCGGATTTTTTTTCCGAGTCGACTGTGTTTAGTATCGCTTTTAAAATAATACCACGTGTACAACCTTTCATTGCCTTCCAAATTAAGCAAAGCTTGTGTCGTTATAATGTACGAGTACTGAGAAATAAATTATGAAACAGAGGCTTTCACTTTTTGTTCAATTTCAGCACGCTAAAAAAAAAAAAACATTTTGAATTTTTTTTTTTTTTTTTTGCCAGAATACATTTTGTTAGAGGTATATGCACTGGTTTTGAGTTTCAAGCCTCTAAATATGCTAAAAGAGAGCAAATGCCGAGGGTGGGTTTAAATAGACCATTTGCTATATCCCCCAGTGCCCCAGCCCGCCCTAAAAGAATCATGGGAACGGTGTTCCTTCAGCCCCTTAGTGATCGGTAATTTTGACCCTATTCTTGGTTACACAGGTTTTGACCGTAATTCGGAGTCACCCTGAACAAGCGCCTGATATACCCCTATGACCTGTCATATTGCTTTTAAAAATTCTCCTCAATGTCAGCGTTTTTTATACTAAATAAGCTGTCCACCCTTCAACCTGGAAGGAGCTGCAGAAATCTCTTACAGTATTATCACGCTGATATTAAGTTAGAAACGCCAAAAATGCTCTAAACAGCCCCGCAGACTCCGAGCTAAATCCTGTTTTTTGCTGCTGTGAATTATCGGCTTTTTAAGCAATTCCTGCTCAAACAGCAATCACGAGAATGATAATATTGTAAGAGATTTCTGCAGCTCAGCCAGGTTGAAAGGTGGATCGCATGCACAGTAACAAAAATGCCGACATTGACGAGCAATTTTAAAAGTGATATGACGGGTCCTTGGGGTATATCAGGTGCTTGTTCAGGGTGACCTCGAATTACGCTCAAAAACTATGTAACCATGGGGTTGGTCGAAAATTAGCGATCACTAGGGAGCTGAAGGAACACCGTTCCCATGATTCGTTGAGTGCGGGCCGGGGCGCTTGGGAATACTGCAAATGGTTTATTGACGACTGTGTGTGGCGTTTTTTAATTTGAGCTTTCAAGGCACATGCGGTGTGCTGTGCCACCTTCTGGTCCGGATTAAAACTGATAAAATCAATTCCGGGCTCCACTTTTAATCCTGTCGGTGATTACTGCTGCGTATTATTGTCTTTAGTGGAACTGAATATCTTGTTTCAGCTACTGCTTATCGAAGTGAATAGGGACATTTGACTGTGTCAAATGTAGGCTTTAGCAATGTATTTTACCAATTTGTTCTTTGGTGGAGGTTTTTCACATCACCAGCCCAACCATGCTTTTAGCTGCCTGTTGTAACCGGTCTCATGTATCAATCTTCAGGGGCACTTTTTTATGACAATTTGAACTGCATAACATTTTAAAAATGACAAATTGCAGTAGTATGTTGCCCTCAATGGAATACAAAGGTGCTCTCCAAAGTAAACATGCTTGACACTTTTTTCTACTGAGCCAACCCCAATCAAATTCGTAGCCACCAAGTTTAACCGTCGTGTGAACTCCTACGATTCAGGCCACTGCTCTCAAAGATCTTTCAGTGGTCTTACCAACCCGAGGGACCTCCATGTTAAAGGAAACATAAGACATTGTATCAAGCAACCCTAAAATTTATAACCATCTGACAAAAAAAAAAAAAAAAAAGGAGGAGTGATTAGGAGACATTTTAGACTGACAAATAAAGCCAAGCTCACAATGCAGTCTAGAAATTCTTCAAATAGCGGCAGCATATACTAACACGCAGACATCTAAGTTTTCTGTTTATGTTGAAAGTGCGTGTCGGCATAAGCTTGTGGGAGATTCACTTATGAAAAGAGGGGTCGGGAGTTTTCGCCTCTAGCAGGGAATCTTGCCTAGCAAGAGCCTCAGCATACCGACCAGAACCACAGAACTATCCCGAAACAACGAAAAAAGCAAACACGCTTGCACCCCCTTTTTTTTTTTTTTCTGCAGCTTCAACAACAAAAGCTTGCGACCGCCTTGGTGACCTGCGAAACTTGAAACGTTTTTCAGAACAAAAGAAACTACACGCCGAACGACAAAGCTCGTGAGCAACGCACAGAATCCAAGCATTGCAAGCCGCACGAAACACAGACCGGTCGACTGCCCGCGTCAGTCAAACTGGCCGCCACAACGCAATGCGGCCACGCCGGTGGCTGAAATCGCAGCCAAATACACCACGGTCCCAAACGTTCAACCGCTTTCCAAGCGGTCGGGTTCTCGGACAGAACGCCTCAAAAACCCGCGGAACCGTACGCAAAACGGCTGACTCGAGAGAAACAAAGAAAACCTCGCGACCGGCGTTCTGACAAAGCAACATGCTCGGCGGTGAAGTTGTCGGGGGGCGCACAAGTGCTCGAAAACCGCGTCGCGTCATCACATCGGCTCGGCGCCCAGATTTCGCGCACACTGTGCGGACTCGTGGGCCCATGGAGGCAACGGCGACCGTCGCTCGGCGATTTCAAAACGACGAGACGGAAGAGCCGAAAGAGCGGCTACATCTCGTCGCCGAATCGCATTAAGCCTATCAAAGCATGCCGCTGTCGCCGCCACCGCTAGGTTCGAATGCGTCTCCCGTGCTCGTGCGTAGCCCAGACGCTTTTCTGTGCGATCGTGGTCGCCCGCGAAATGTCTAGCTAAAAGACGTACCCGTCCTTCGTCGGTTCTTTGGCGTTTTGCGGCGTGGCCGTCGTAGCTGGCGATATCGGCCATCATTCCAGAGCTGGGGTGGTTCGTTGCTGCGACGAAACAAGGGACGCGGACGTTGCGAGTGCACGGACGATGTCACGGAGTAGCAATCCAGGCAATGGCCACCTACCGACACAGAGAAAGCGAATGAGTGAGCCCAGTGAGCGACACACAGACTTCAGCGAGCGAGTTGTGCCAAGGAGCGCCGCACAGTGCCTCTGCAGTCGTAGTGAGAACAGAAGTACGGTGACCAATACCTACTACTAGAGAAAACAGTATGTTTTATCAGAATCCCACCAGGGATAAAGTAGCATTAACATCGCTAGCATAAAATTAATTCCCGTACGTTCCAGTGTGTTTTTGTTAAACTTTTTTTACATATAAACTATTTACTGCATTAGGCCTGCAAGTTTAAGGCACATATCAAAAAAGAGAAACAAGAACGTAGGGTTGGTGGTCAACTGGGTCACTCCAGTTACTCGGAGTCACCAGGAGTCAGCGAAAAGTCATGTGTTGATTTCTTTGTGCGATTGTTTGTTTCGTTGGTTTTGTTTGTGTAGATGCGAGGCGCTACCACGGAAAAGATTTCACAAAAGGCGGAAATACGCATCCAGCGTCTCTACGACACACTTCGACAGCTAAATTAAAGGTGGCACTACACCAACAAGGAACGCCACTAAACGCCACTCATCCATTCCGGTCAGTACTTGGAACCTTATCAAACTGCTCACTCGATCACCTGAGCAAACCAAAACAAAGATGGGGAAACTGCGAACCAGCAGCGCATCAACTCCTACCTTTCTTTCTTTCTTTATTCGGCGTAGATAAGCATAAACAGTAGACGATATTCCCTGTCGAGTCCAAAGAGTACACTCCTCCGCAGGAAATTCATTCCAATATTTTTATTTCAGCCTCTTTTTTTTTTTTTTTCTTCCGAGAGTCTGCACACCGTTACGCAATGTGATTGTAGTATTGCAGTGCTGTTGAGAATCGGCGATAAGCTGGCCCAGTATGTGACGAAAGGAGATCATGCTTCAGGTGGCGAACCCAGCGGAACCATCTCGAAACTTGTCTCGGGCATGTGGTGACTCATCGCGCCAAGCTGATCGCCTTTGTTGACACCGTGCCAGTGCGTTTCCCGATTTGCCACGAGCAGCGGAGCGTCGTCCCAGAACTCTGCGAGTCGTGGGCAGCTTTTGCCCGAGGTATGTCCACCCACGACCCTCCTGTTGTCACTTCGCTTATTCGTGCCGAGATAAAAAGAAAAATAATCGACGACTATAAAAGCGCGGAGATCGAGTATCCGTCGTCATTTGTCGAGGAAGTTTTCCGCAAATTTACGCGGTGGTCGAAATATAGGCGTTAAAATTAGACGTGTTTTATAAATTGCAACAGCGGAAAAAAAAAAAAAAAGGTGGAGAGACTCACAGAAAGACAAACGAGGGCGCTGACTTGCAGTTCGTCTGTTTGCTATTCTGATCCGTACTCGCGTACGATACGCTGTCTGGTACGCTCTGTTTGTAACCCTTGTCTGCTTGCTTTTTTCTTGGCGTTGTTTCTGTTTTAAAACTACAAACTGCCAACCAGCTTAACGTTTTGAAGGGCTGCATGTGCCAGATACACCATATGCAATTACGAATGTCATCACTCAAGAGGTGATGAAACAGCAATGATATGTGTGCAAGGAAAAGGGCTTGTTTCTGAGATGCCATTCAGAATATCCCGCCAAACTATGAGCAACAGTTGAAAGGTCTCAAAGCAAAGAGCCCGAGTCCCTTTTAGACCTTGTCTCATGCTCGTTCTGTCCTTCCATAGTGCTAGCAGATTTTTTTTTTAATTTTTTTAACTTGAGTTGAACTTATCTATTCAATTGGCTTTCTGCATTGCCCAGGGGGCACTGCAAAAAGGGACTTGTTCGGACTTGTTTTTGGGTAATACAATCTTGAGCTTCTCAAACTGTTACACATGTAGAAGTGTGCCTGGTATGGTGCAGAAGGCGATCCCAAGAAAAATACAAAGAAACAACAAAAATTCAAATGCCGTCGAAGCACACGGTAAAGCTAAGAGCATGAGCCAAGAGACACCATTTCACGCATTCCCTCCTTCTCCCCCGCCCCCCTCCCCCAAAAAGAAAAAAAGGGAAAAAAACATTGGGACACCAAATGTTTTGATGTCACCATCCAGAGATGAGAGACGTGTTCCCTAGCGCTGGTGGCATGAGAATGGCACTTTCGATTGTCTTGCGGCATTGAATCTAGACAATTTCGGATGTCGAAATGTGTTTTTTGTTTGTTCTTTAGCACTACGCAAAAAGGAAAAAAAAAAAAAAAAACTCAGCGAAGGTGCCATAAATAGTGCGAGGCCCAATTGGGTGACCTTGTACTACCTAAAATAAGCGTGCCACAGTTTGTTCAAAGCTTCAGTGCAGGAGCAGATCTGCGTGGGATCTGCTTGTGTGCTGATCAGGGCAGTCAGTCAGTCAGCTGGCTTATCAGTGTGGTAAAGGCCCACGTGCACAACTGCCGTTTGTTTTCCCAATGGCTGATGCATCCCCTTCTTTATTGAAAGATTGATAACACAAAAGACGCTCATGCATGCACACCAGATAGTTGTTCCAGTTTCCTCCCAATTGACATTGCTCAAAAGGCTGTGGCGTAGTCTGATGATTCAGAATTCTCACTATACTTGGATACAAGTGCCAGATGCTCCTTCCACGGCTTCTTCACTGCCAGCCAGTGTTCAACTGTGATTTGCAAAGAGTGCTATCAACGTGCATGTCAACTTGACGTCTGTGGGCACCGGTGTGCGCTGATCGCCCACAAGGAAGAAAAGAAGGTGAACACAAGACAGGGCAAACAAAAACGCAGCTTTATTCGAACGGGTGCGGTAGTTGCGCAAACTTCGTTGCGCACCCTGGGCTGCGCCAACATCTTTCTCCTTCACAAGTACATACATCACATAACTCGTCCTGGCTACTGACTTTCCTGGTTGGCCCGCGGAGTGAATGGATGTCATGGCTGGTATGTGCTGGTGTTTACTTGGTGCATCCTTGACTCATATCAAATTATAGCGGCACAATAAACCTTACGCGAAATTGCTTGGTGGTCTGACAACACTGAGAGCATCGCTATAGGCTCCTTGCACATGACGTCATTTCCGATACCCTCCAGAGAAGAGGGGGAGAAGGAGCTCCCCTCTTATCAGGACCCTCCTTTGTGCCTTCCGGATTTGCACAGGCGTCGCTATTCTCCTCCCAGAAGATTATAGAAGATTAACCCGTCACTCAAAATTCTTACAAAAGCAGCTTCCCTCTCCTCCTTTTACTTGGTGTGCAAATGTGTGCGATGTGACGTCAATGCAAGGAGCCTATTCGAATGTTGGCAAGCGTCGTCGGTACCGAAGCACAGTCGAGGCATCGGAGTCAACTGTGCGGGCAGTGTGCAATGGCGCGGAAGCTGTGCTTTTTACCTCACGACCGTGGAATGTGCACAAGCAGTCTAAACAACCTACTGCAACTGTTTAACGAAACTCGGAGGGCCCTCTGAGCCAACAACTCATCCGAGCGCGCTACAAAATGCATGCAGAGTGCTTGTCTAATACACACACAATACACTTCCACCCATTCGATTACCAACTATTAAGCACCACACCTATTTACAATGTTGACTCCTTGCCTACTAAATAATGAGTGTCACTCGTGCCACCCTCTACGGACCATAAAGCTTGACCACGAGTGTGACTCGTGTTTCGGTTTCAGAGCTTGTTTAGCACACTCTCCAAAAGATGGCAGCACCACCCTTGTTGCTCTACTTACCTTGGGTTGTTTGCTTATTTGTGTTGCTGTTTTATGGATAAAGGGAAATCCATTAACCCAGAAAAAAAAAAGAGTGCATGCTGGGTAAGCGTTTGTGCCAAAACAACATGGCTTCGGCGTGGAAATCCGCTTTAGCCGACAAAGAGATTTAAAAACTTTCTTTTTAAAAGGGAATGCTCAGGCATATCTGACGACAAATCTTGCAGCCTTTCTGATGACTCGAAATCAGATAGTTCGAGGGACAGTGATTGGAGTGATGAAAACGGTGCAAATAGTTTTCATCACTCCCATTAAAATGTCTCTCCACCTTCCTGAATGCTTTCAGCGCTTTCACACTGAAGGACTACTGAAGACGACCAGAAGGTCAGAAGTTCTGATTTAGAGCAAGATACACCTTACAGTCAAGGAAATGCTTTTGTCTTTTTTTGATGCAAATTGCCTGTTTAAATGAAGTTTTGCTGTCCGTTCTTTGAAGAAAAAAAATTAGTAGGCAAGAAGTGAAAAAAAAAGGGTCCCAGTTTACATACATCTAATGGCAAACGTTTGTCCGCGCCGAAGAAGGCAGTGTGTAAGCTTCCACAGCTAAGGCGTAGGACTTGCTTTGCTGAGACTGTCGCCAGCGTATACAGGCCTCCAAGAGTTTCGTCAGATAGTTGTGCTAGGTTGTTTACAATGTTTGTCACCATTCCATGGTCGGAAGGTGGAAAACACATGCCATTGCACATTGCCTGTACAGTTGTCTCCGATGCCTCCACTGTGCCTCGGTACCGACAACGCTTGTCAACGTTACAATGGCGATGCTCTCAGTGTTGTCAGACCACCAAGCAATTTCACATAAGGTCTCCTGGTAATGCCAAGCTTGATCGTGGTGTGCCAAATGTTGTTGCTCGTTCTGGTATGCCTACTGCACAATCCCAAGGGAAGAGAACAAAGCTTGCAGTCCGCTCACTGTCATGCGGGGCCAACATTACAATGGTGATGCTCTCAATGTTGTCAGACCACCAAACAATTTCACATAAGGCCTATTGATAATGCCGAACTTGATCGTGGCGTGCCAAATGTCGTTGCTTGTTCCGGTATGCCTACGGCACAATCCCTAAGGAAAGAGTACAAAACCTGGAGTCCGCTTGTTCCGGTATACCTACGGCACAATCCCTAAGGGAGGAGAACAAAACCTGGAGTCCGCTCACTGTCGTGCGGAACATAACAATATATTCGAGCTGTTTTGCACCGTCTGCATCTTCCGCTGACTAGTAACCCCTGTATGTGTCAGGTGTGGCAGCACCGAGGCCAAAGGCCTGCTCCCGAGCGCCAGCGAGAACCATTTTTTTTTTGTGCGAAAGGTTTTGGCCATTGGGCGTTGAGGCCTCAGCCTCAAACCACGCGGGGGTGAAGATGGGAGGCACATATATCGTGACTGATGACATCTGGGGTCCTGAGAGAAGAGACCGACAGAAGACCGGAAAAAAAACTTTCCGTTTTCCCCACTTTGGTGAAGAAGGAAGAGCAGCGTAGCTGTAGCTTTTGTTCTCACCGGTGGCTTTCCAGGCGAGCAATCTGCTCTTCTTTCGCAAGAGAATCTGAAGCGCCCGACGCAGTCGAACTTTAGGCGATAGCAGCCTCGCATCGGTTGCAAAACCATTCACGCTGCTGCGGACATCACCGCTTGTTTCGTTCCCGCTCTTCTCCCATTGAAGAAATGCCGTGCTCTATGAGCGACGGCAACAAGCGGATAACTGACAACGACAACACTCTGGACAGCTACCGCCATCTTATGAGCGACGGCGGCAATCAGAGTTTTGTGTCGACATTTCTTAGCGGGGGACACAATCCTGGGAAAACTAGCCCTTAACAGCTCCGCTGTAAAAACAAAACAGATGAAAGCTTAGGCATGTTTGATTTGCCGCAGTTTTTGAAATCATTTATTGACTTGTTCACCTTAGTATTTTCTTATACTAAGGTGAACATTTTATTAGTATTTTAGTATAGTATTTTCTTATACTTATGCACATCGATGGTGTTTCCTTGAAAACAAAGCTAAAGAAAGACTAAGTACCCCTTCAAAGTGCTAGAGCCTCCTTTTTTTGCATTTCTTAGAGCTCCGCCAGCAATTTGCGACTACCGGGAAACCCAATGTCTGCCTCCGCGCACCGCCATTACGCTGCCCGAAATACGTCTCCATCTGGTGTGTTTAGCGTCCTATGCCGCCTTGCGCCGAAATCGGTCCCAAAGGGGGAGACGGCACGGTAATCCTGATGGATGTCGCAATCCCGGTGGTCGGTCGTAGAGGTTCCGGTAAAAAGGAAGAGCGAACATCTCTGTCGCGGTGTTGTCTCAACTCCTGGCTGCTGAGGCTCCCATGAGCTGTCGAGCTGGAGGGTTACCAGCAGTAGAACCTACAATGCCTTGCGTGTAATCCTCAGCTACTGTGTCGTCGCCACAATCGGATCACGTAACAGCACGACACAAGTGCGACGTCATCAGGCGGAAATTGAGGGTCCACAAACGAGGATGCAGTAAAAACACCAGTCATAGTCGCGTTCCAAGCACCATACCGCTCGCTCTTCTGTCGCGGCCTTTCCTCCAGATTCATGACACGAAATCCCGTTTCCGCAGGTCTCCCGGGGCCCCGCTTCATGGGAAGATCTTCGGGAGAGGCTGAGAGGAAGAACGAGCGCTTGGCGACTTCATGAAAGCTCCACGGTCCGTTGCCTCCTCCACCGCCAGCCAGTCTAGTCAGCACGTGCGTCTCTTGCCGCACCCGCCCACGCGCTCTGCGCGAGCCTCCTGCTCCGAACGACTCGCCTGCAGAGGACCCAATCCCTGGTGAGTTCCAAGCATCTCGTTGGGGACTGCCAAGGCGAGATTCCCCTCAGTGTGACAGACAGAAACAACCGACACCGACGAGCCTCAAACACGCACGGCATGCACGCCAGGGTACTTTTGGTGGGCTTCCAATCTCTCATGCTTACTTCATGAGCACCGGGAGAGTGCAAGCCTTGTCTACTGCTTCATATGGATGGATGGATGGATGGATGAATACGGCTGAGCCCTTTGGATCGGGCGGTAGCTTACGCCACCTAGCCATTTTGTTTTACCATTTAAGCTTAGAATATTTAAATGTGAAATCTATATTCCCTCCGCAGTGCAAAGAAATTGAGGCTATGAAACCCCCTTGCCATCAGTGAATAAGAAAATGCCTAGTTTTCTCTCGATTTCTGCCACCATTCACTTAATCTTTGCTTGGTAATCTCTACAGTCTTGAAATCCACTCTCCCTTCGCTGTCTCTAAAACCCAATGACTTTATTAAATCTATGTTGTCTTCGGTAGGCATAGGGTGAAGCCCTTTACAGTAGAGTATCAAGTGCTCAGCCGTCTCGTCCTCCTCTCCACTAGCAGTGCGCACTGTATCTATTTCCTGGTACTTCACTCTGTATGTTCTGGTTCGCAGAACACCCGTCCTCGCATATTGGATTGAACTGGAACACAACCTGTGGCTATTTTTTTGTCCAACACCCGACACCTAAGATAAACACGGAAAAACACAAAATCTAAGGAGAGAAACAGACCCCGAAAAAAAACAGAAAATCTGCGGGGAAAAACATGAACCTCGAGAAAACACCCCCTGAGTTAAAAAAGATTAACACAAACCGCGGAACCCAACACACAGGCGAACATACTAATTTCAACATTGGGGCTGCTAAAGCTCAGATTTCGTTCCGGCCCTCTCTGGTGCTGCAGCGCCCGTGTGTTCTGCTCCGAGTGCGGCACCAACCAGTGCGAGGCGTGCGAGCTGCTGATCCACGAGGAGCCGCGCTTCCGCCACCACCAGGACCGGAGTCTGCTGGAGCCTCCGGACCCCTTCCTGCTGTGCCAGGGGGCCCACTGCTCTGCGGAGAACCTCGCGGACCTCCGCTGCCAGACGTGCCAGCGGAGCCTGTGCTACGCCTGCGACCAGCGTGAGCATCTAGTCAACCGGAAGCTAGCCCACACCAAGGTGAAGCCTCTGCCCTAAGTCATCTTCTTCCCTGCGTAATTTCCTTTTTTGTTTTGAGTCCTTCTCGATGATCGGGGAGCATGATTGCAAAGTTTGCAAGCCCATTTGTAACGTGACCACATTCTGTTGTCGCGCCACTGCGGCGGCATTGCTGTTGTCACTGCACATGTGCAGACGCATCATTTCTAGCGAATCTGGTTTCTGCCACACGCGCTGTGTCCACGCCCGGTGTTGGCAAACGCAGGCTTGTTTGTAAACGGCATGTTGGTACGTTCTAGTTTGTCGTGGGCTAAAAAAAAACCCTCCACTCTTTTCACTCTGACGAGAGAAGCATTTGCTCTGTCAGACAAACATATGTGTGTTTGAGCCCAACGCTGGAGTGTGTTACATTTTCTCGTAATCGCTTGGCACTCTGGCGCCATCATCATTTTGCTCCGCAACACTTACAACCCGTTTATATGTATTCCGATAATTTTGTTTGCGCACCGTTCGTTCATGGTGGGATTGAAATATAATTTTGACGACGTTCTGAGCGACCATGTCTCATAGATGGTGTGTAGACTGGACTTCGAAAATACTGCAAGACCTTCAATGTAGTTACGCACAGTTTCAGGACTACTTGACAGACGACACCGCTGGGACAGCATGTTCTCGCGTCATAAGCGACCATAAGGGTATATGATGCACTTGAGCACTCTCAAACGCAGATGTGTGAATGAGCCTTAATGCGGCTACATTTTCGGAGCCCTTTTGTCCCCAGCACGTCTTGCGAGGGGTACCCCTTTCGCCACCCGTTGTCTGCATTCAAGGTTTTGTTGGATTCAATTTCAAGAAAGCAATATCGTGGGTTGCAAACTACCGATTGGTGCGGCACTTGCCAGACCAACCGGTCGTCTCTCTTTCGTCGCCTGACTCGCTCTCTGCCTGTAGATAGGGACGGGTGTGTGGTCACGTGGCGAAAGATAGATGTATGATTGGTCTATGGGGTATGTACCTTCCACCACACTGTCAGCTTGGGCCCGCTTCAGATCGGGCAATTTTTTCCGGCGTCTTGACGTCGCAACTTCAGCGACACAGCTTTCCCTCATTCATACGCGACAGCTGCTGTAGCCCGATTTGCTACGTTCTGTTGTCATTATTATTAAAATGGTCATTTTCTTACACTGTATAAATACAAAAAAGTGTGTTAATAACATAATTTTTAATGTTTTAATGTCATTGAAAACGCCCGGAAATCATTTTGGTGTGAAAACAATCTACTGTAAGCCAGAACCATATGTGTAGTTAACATCCTCAGCACCACAAGGGGGCTATGTGAAAATATTGCGTCCTTGATTGGCCGGCGCTGCTTCAAACGTCTCCGAGTTGTTGGGGTTGCTCTCCCGTTTTGAGCCGAACTCGATCCCAGCAACTCATGTTGCTAAGCGAGGGCCTAGGCAGCAATTTGCCAGCAACCTTGGAATTGAAAGAAGGGGAAGCGCACAGGTGAGCTTGTAAAAAGTTGACATAACTTAGCCAGAGACAGGAAAGATGAGAAACACACATCAAAAGAAGGGACAACGCACATTGTGTATTGTTCCTTCCTTTGATATGTCTTTCTTACCTTCCATGTCTCGAGTTAAGTTACGTCGACCCCGGAATCGCTGGAAAAATTGCCTCGTCTGAGCGGGCCCTTGGAGGTGAACAGGGCATAGATGCCGTGAAATTAGTCACGCGGTCACAAGCTGCTGAAATGTCTGGACAGTTGCTGTGTTTGATTGACCCACAGCTGCTGCAGCAGCTGCACTGGATGCATACTGTCGCATTCTATGTAGGTACAACTAGTGCAGCCTCTCTTAAAACATATACCAGATGTGCACTGCCCTGCACTTTTCCACACCGGTGTAGATTGGTGCATGTAGATCTAAGGGGCCCAGTGCTATCTTTAACCTCCTTTGCATTCCTTTGTCTTGACCAGACGCGGTTCCAGCACTACCTTGAGCGCTTGCAGAGGGAGGAGGAGGAAGAGGAGGAATACCTGTCTGCAGACGGCAGCTTCACGGAGGCGGCCATGATGTCCCTCCAGTTGATGGGGCCGGACATCCTTAGCGACGCACGCAGCCTGGAGGCCCAGGAGAACAGGAAGGCCCCACGGCCATCCAGCTTCCTCCTGGTTGACGACAAGGAAGTGCTACAGGTGAGGAGCTGACGGCAGTCGTCCCCTTGCAGACAACTGTTGCACTAACAGACGGCTGCACCTACAGATGATGGTGGCAGTAGCAGACAATGATTGCACTAGCAGACAACGGTTGCTCTAGCTCAGTGGCCTCCAGGTTTGTTGGCTGAAGAGCCGAATTTGGGATCTGTCGCAGTCTCGAGGACTGGAAAATAATTATGTAAATAAAAAATGGAATAAATAAGCCTAGAGAGGAATTTAGGTACTAAACTTCAATTTAAAGTTTGAAGAAAGAATCTGAAGTCGTTTGATTAAATACATATTTTTTTTTAAAGTAGCTGTGCAACGATTTTAACGTTGAAAGAATTAGCATTTTCTACTTTTGACATTGTTCACCTTGTCACAAAGGACAGAAAACACACCTCCTTTGTTCGCAATGTTGCGATTCTGCCGCGTAATCGCGAGGCAAAAATTAGAATATTCCTCGACCTACAGCCGCGTGCGGCGGCCATGAGAAACACGCAGCATGACGTCAATGGGGGTCTTGCAGAAAGGTTGTGCGAATACCTGCTCGATAAAAGGTAACTTCTCTATAAATCTTGTCGTTCCAACATAAATATAAATGCATCAAAAACCTGGTATCATCAACAAAACTTTTATTATACGGAGTTTTAGTGGCGTCATTTATCCTAGGTCCACAAAACCCGTCAGCTCTATCTGCTACCGTGAACAGCAGAACAGGCCGCCAGAAGCCGGAGGGGGAGGGGTACAGGGCCGGATGGGTGTGGCCGGACCCGGATGAGACTTTCCTCCTTTCACCATATTGTTCGCACTGTGCCCGCCAGCACGTGATCATGCGGTCACGAGCGGATGAGTTCTCGCTGCTCACTGATGGCTCTAGAGAGAGAGCTTTAACGGAACCCCGAGCCTCAATCGCGAAAACCTTGACTTGGTTTTCGCAATTGAAGCCGGCGTGACCTTACGGTTACGCCGGCTTGACCGAACCGTAAGGTCACGTGACCCCCCAGGTCATGTGACCCCCCCCCCCCCCCCAGGTCACGTGACACCCCCAGGTCACGTGACATTCCAGGTCACGTGACCCCCCAGGCCATGTGACCCCCCTAGCAGTAGGAGGGAGGTGGAGGAGGGGAGAGAGGAGGAGGTTGAAGGATGAAGAGGAGGTGAAGGAGGAGGAGGGGGAGGAGGAGGATGAGGGGAAGAGGAGTGGCAGGCAGGATCACGAGGGAGGAGGAGTGAGGAGGGGTATACCTTCCCATCAGTACCCTTCCCTCCTCCTCCTCCGTTACTAGATCAACTCAGTTATGGAACTTCCCATAGACGCTGTACATTGGAGGGGGTCCGAAACCGTGTCCGATTCTTTTGCGGCAAGGTGGCGCTGCCGGCACATTAATCCGCGCAGTTTCGTCTGCTACTGCTCTGCGGCTGCCAACCGCTGCAACTGTTTGCGAGTCCCAACCCGACTCCTCGGCGACTAGCATGGTTTACGGTTGGTTTTCACCCTTTCGCCAGTAAAAATACTACTTGAGCATGATAAGCGGTAGGACCATGATGGCATACGCTTTGTATTATTTCACAACGCCGCCGCCTTAGCTGTGCTGACAGCGCGAAGCGTTTCGAACAACCCAAATTCGTCAGCGCCACGATCCGGTGGCTACAATTAGGGCAAGTGTGTACATACTGTAATAGTAGATGTGCCGTCTTACCAAGGCAATTCCATTGCTGGCCGTGATCGCAGCACACCAATACGAGCGTAAGTATCCGAACGCTTCGATTGCGTTGGTTGCACCGACAGCAGACAATACTTGGAATGTGGTTCAGAGTCAACAGGAACACAGATTCAATGTTTTATTGGTTAAAACAAGTATCAGAATTTCTCGTATGTGACTACCAACTGCAGCAGAAACAATTTGAAAGTCGTCTGCTACTGTCAGAAAAAGCGCCACGAACATCCATAAGCTCAGTAGGCCAGATGCAACGGCCACAAGCGCGCCGTCAATGATGATGATAGCGAGTATTAATACGGAGTGAGTGCCCTCTATCAGGCGCCACGCAAAGGCACCCCTCTTTGGAGCGGAGTTCCAGAACTGAGTTGGTTCTAATAACGTTGCTCCTCCTCCTCAAGAGCTGCATTCCAATTCGGCGTTACAGGCAGTTGTAAACTGCTTCCAATTTTTAAAATAAAAACTAGGACATGCAGGCAAAAGCGTTTCTTTTTTTTGTTTTTTACTTGAGAAAGGTCGAGACACCAACTCCCAAATTATTTAAGCAAAGCACTGAAACTGTTGCACAGTTCCTTTAAATTCAATGTTTAGTTAAGTATGATATCATACAATAATTGTGAACCAGAAAACTCGCTGGACACAAATAAAAGTGCCGAGGAAGTTAAACTTATGCACACATAATGATAGAACTGGTGATGACAGACACTATGCAATTGTTCTGACACAGGACACTGAACGATAGACGAGAACTAAAAAATTGAGTTATGACACAGTACTAATATCAGTTAGAAATTGGTACAGATATGATGAGTTTGCTGAGCTTTGCGGCAGTGTTACTTTACGCGCGCTTATTTTTGCGCCGGTGGTGGCGGTGGAAATGAGCAGCAGGCCTGACGTCATTGCGAGGATCGCAAGCATCCTCGGGCCGGTCGAAAGACCTCCGCGGGCCGGAGTTTGGGGATTTCTGCTTTAGCAGACGATGGTTGCACTAGCAGACAATGTTCATGCAAGCAGACAAAGGTCACGCAAGCAGACAACGGTCACACAAGCAGACAGCGGTCGCACAAGCAGACAGCGGTCGCTCAAGCAGACAAAGGTTGCACAAGCAGACAATGGTCGCTCAAGCAGACAAAGGTTGCACAAGTAGACAACGGTCGTACAAGCAGACAACGGGCGCTCAAGCAGACAAAGGGTGCACAAGCAGACGACGACTATTGAATGCCCACAAGGCTCCAAAAGTGCGGTGCCTGGAATGCGTCTTGGACTGGTGCATTTACCGTCTTATCCTGTCCAAGCATTGGGAGGGGCCTCGAAGTGGCAACATATTGTGTCGCCGGGGCCGGCGTGTCTAACGGTTGGATGTCGCGATCCCGGCAGGTAGTCGTAGGAGTTCCGGGGAAAAGCATAATGACCTTTGTTGTCATGTGTCCACAAACAACACTAAGCCTAAAAAAATGGCACACTGTTATTAAAAAAAAAAGAAAAAAATCTTTTGCAAAGCAGTAGAAAGGTGATAAAGAAAGCCATAATCATGTACACATTGGTGCCTCGATTGCTCATAGAAAAGTGGTCATGTCACAAAAACAAAGTTATTACAGATTGGTCTGGCTTGTTATATTCGAGTTGCATTCTCGTAATAGGCCTTATGCAAAATTGCTTTGTGGTCTGACAACACTGAGAGCATCGCCATTCTAATGTTGGCAAGCGTCGTTGGTACCGAAGCACGGTGGAGGCATCAGAGAGAGCCGTACGGACAATGTGTGATGGCGCAGCAACTGGTTTCCGCCTTCTGACCATATTATGTGGACGAACAGTTTAAACAACCTACCGACCCTGTCTGACAAAACTCTCAGAGGACTGTGCACGCTGGCGACAACCTCATCGAAGCAGCGGACCAAGTCCTAAGCCTTCACTGTGAAAGCTTACACACAGCGGGTTGTCGCCAGTGTGTGCACAGGCCTCCGAAACGACTAGGCCCTCATGCCTTTCATCTTTGAGAACACTTTTAATTCTTTTTTCGATGCGAATACGCTTGAAGTCATAGTGTTTAGCGGTATAGACCTTTTCATCCTCCTCCGCATGGGCGCTGCCATCTTGGAATCACGTGACGTGGCAGCCATTAGGTTGCTTCAACTTGCTGCTCCGCTCTCCCCTCCTAGCCTTGGCGGATGCCTGATATTCGTGTTTTTCGTCGCGTTTCACCGCGCTTGCTTGCCTTACTTCGGAAACTGTAGTCCAATACGTCTACTCGACGACTCCTGAGGTTTGTTTACTAATAGTGGCGGAACATTCTCAGTAAGAAGCGCGTATATTTATATCGCGCATATAGGATCGCAAGGCGTCGAGAATAGTCAGCACAAGGAGAGTGTCTGTATTCCCTGAAAGTATCGTTCTTTGTAGTCATAATACGTCGAAAACAGTTTCTTTTGACTATGTGAAGAAACTCGCGGAGGAGACAGACAACGAACGTTTAACTTGTATTTTATCTGAGGCTAAAAGTAATGGTACGTCAACATCAATCGATTTGTTTGTTCATAATATTGTCACGGGTGGTGACTAAACAAAAAAACAGGAAATAAACAGAAAGAAATAAACGTTTAATGTGGCGAACTTGTGCCAAAAAATAAAGAAGGAAACAGAAGAAAGCAGAGCGTCGCGGGCGTCGAAGTCGGCGTGTCAGCAGAATCGAGCGCTGGGGCGAGACTGACTCGACAAGGTCGCGGGCGGCCTCTTATCTAGAGTGCTCCGCTATCTCGAAGATTCGGCGAAAGCAGTTCGAGCGTCGCGTGATCGGGGCGAGAATGAACACGCACTTTCTAGAAAACAAAAGCAGGGACAAATGATAGAAGTTACGTGCGGTACATGAATAAACGGGAACTTTCTGGAGGACCGCGACCGAGCGTTGCTTTCTCAGCCTTGCGCGCGGCATTACTCCCCCCTTTAAAAGTGCATCGCCCCGATGCAGTGTAAAACAAATCAAAATAAAAAAGAACGATAAACTAAAGAGTCTTTTGGAGCACAAAAGGTCCACAGTCCTATCGAGCGTAGTACGGCTTCAGGCGCACGACGTGGACGACCTCAGGTCGTGGTGGGCGGCGTGACGATGTTCGTGTTCCGTCGGGCATCACCTCGTAGTTCAGATCCCCGAGTCGACGAAGCACTTTGTAGGGTCCAAAGTATCGTTTCAGCAATTTCTCACTGAGGCCGCGGCGACGGATGGGCGTCCATACCCACACCCTATCTCCGGGCTGGAAGTGGACGTCCCTGCGACGAAGGTTGTAGCGGCCGGCGTCGACGCGTTGCTGG